TGAGACAGAATAAAAACCTCAAGACAGATCCATGTAGACCCACAGGAATAGACTCATTATTATGAAATGACCAGTCACCTCCCAAAGTAATAGAAAATATTAACACAATTTCAATCAGAATTCTAATGAAATCCGGGAAGAAGAATTTGACTAACTGATAAAAAAATTCAACAGTCAGAAAAAAATCTCTGAGGGGCAACGGGGTGGGTCAGTCATTAAACGTCTGCCTTCGGCTCAGGTCATGATTCCAGGGTCCTGGGATCGAGCCCCACATCGGGCTCCCTGCTCCACGGGAAGCCTGCTTCTCCCTCTCCCACTCCCCCTGCTTGTGTTCCCTCTCTCGCTGTGTCTCTCTGTCAAATAAGTAAATAAAATCTTTTAAAAAAAAAAGAAAAAAATCTCTGAGATGAGACACCTCTGCACCCTGCCCCCCCCACAGGAAATTTTAAAGAACAATGAGGGGAAACTTACCCTACCATAAAACATATAATAAGAGATAGATAAACTTGGATCTATCACACAATAAAACACTGAACATAACTTCATGGATCTCAATATAATAGTTACATAACAAACAGGGAGAACATATTAAATTAGTAACAGTGTTTGACAGTGAGCAAGAAGGGATGATCTGAGGGACTACTACTTTTTGGTTTCAGCATAATTGCACCTTCTACCACAATTCCTATTATTTGCAATAAAGTAATTTTAAAATCTAAAAAATAGGAAAAAGCGAAAAGAATATAGTGGAGCCCCATTGTTATGCTATGTAGCAAAGGGACTTTGTCCTATGCACTCCTAACTGTGTGGCTTCTCTGGCGATTCTGGGTGAAGAGACAGGACTCTAGGAGGGGAGTACCGAACAGTGGCCTTCAGTGTGTCCTTCTCTCAATCCAAAGGTTCACTGGGGTATCTCGAGAGATCCAAGGGGCCTTCTCTCCTACCTCACTGACAACAACCTGGCTTTTAGTATTTTATTTAAGGTCATACTGTGTAGTGTTTTCATTAGGGGAAAGTGTTCTATTTCCTAAGTAAAGTTTATAAACCACCCACCCAGAAGACTGCCAGTAGAAACACTATTTTAAAGGTAATTAATACTTGTTAAAGAACTATAAAAGATCTATTACATTAATGAACATTTAATCACATTTTCTAAATACAAAGTATGCCTTTGTCAGATAAGTCCCCAAATGCCACAAGCTGTTAAGAATCATTCCTCTCGGGGCGCCTGGGTGGCTCAGTAGTTGGGCGTCTGCCTTCGGCTCAGGTCATGATCCCAGGGTTCTGGGATCGAACCCCGCACTGGGCTCCCTGCTCGGCGGGGGGCCTGCTTCTCCCTCTCCCCCTCCCCCTGCTTGTGTTCCCTCTCTCTCGCTGCATCTCTCTCTGTCAAATAAATAAATAAAATCTTTATTTAAAAAAAAAAGAATCATTCCTCTCTTCAAAAAAAAAAAGAAAGAAAGAAACATTCCTCTCAAACATTCAAGTTCTTGAAGAAGAACTTCAAGTCCATTTTGAGAAGAACTGTAGAAAAAATTATTGCATTTTATGTATCATTTTGTTTCCTAAAATCATTTTTTAAAATACTAATCTAGGTAGCTACGCTTTCCAAATTATCTAACTTTAACCAGCTTTTATGACTTTCAGGGGTAAATACCATATTTAAAGAGTCTTTCAGATAACAGGATCTTGTGAGATTCTATGATCTATTTCTTCTGCCCACTGTTACTTGAAACATCCAACTTCATTACTTGGGTTCAACATTTATTCATGAGCAATACACAAAAATTTCCAGGCTTTCCATACACCAAGGCTTATGCTCAGTGCTTAAGGGAGAGAACCACACAATCAACAGCTCAGGTGTTGATTTTTAAATTTCTGAAGTCAAATAATAAAAATAGTATAAAAGAAAAAAAATAGTATAAAAGATAACATGAACGACCTATCTGCACAGTTCTAAGATGGGAGGGATGAGAATTCAGGGAGGAGTGACAAAGGCTGCTTAGGGGATGCAGGACTCGGGCTGGGTGCCTTACGCACACATGGGCACAAGGGACCTTCCTGGCTTTTGGCTGGTGCACAGATGGACTTGCCGAACTATCTCACTAGGAACATATACCTCTGTTCAAAACTCACAGAACTGCACACTAAAAAGGGTGGGATGTACTTCATATAAACTATACCTTAATTAAAACAAGGAAAAAACCCACCTGTAAATGACTACCTGGAAGACAATTAATTTGGCATTCTGTATAAAATTTCAAACACACATACCCTATGACTCAGCAATTCTACTTTGTCAGTTATATCCGGAGTACAAAATTATCCATTATTTACATTACAGCATTGTTTGTAAAAATTTAAAAATCAAGTTTTTTTAAAAATAAAGTAATATTTAGTGAACACTTAGGTACAGTGATATAAGTCTAACATCAAACATTAAGGACTAAAAACATAATTTTTATGTTTATCCTGGAAGATAAGTTGATATGTACAGATAAGAACGCCAATAAATGTAATTTCTCAACCTATAAAAAAAAACTGGTTCATTACTGCCAGTCTGTTCAAAATCACTTCCAAACACAGGTGAGCAAAGACACAGCGTTCTTTTCTTCAAGCTTAATCTTTACTGACTGACCTTTCCTGGTATTTAAGTTCATGAAAACAAAGCTGTCTGTAGCCTGGCGTTACTGACAGCCACCACTGACACCAGTGTGGACTGCAGTTCACAAACTCATTCTCGAGTATCTGTTGATTTGACTTTTCTGCACACATCTTCTTAGAAGTTGGCAAGGTAAAGAGAGAAGAACCAACGGAAGAAGTCTACATCCAACATGGGGCTCAAACTCACGACCCTGAGATCAAGAGTCACACACTCCTCTGACTGAGCCAGCCAGGCGCTCCTGGCAGAACTCATATGTTTTAATAATCAGAGGGCAAAAGCAAAAGTGGAGGCCTTTCTGTAAATAATGCAAATCATGAAAGGCCTTAAAGGAAAAGACTAAAAATTCTAAATTTCTGTATGACAAAAAGATAAATAAAACATTTAAATTTAAAATCACTATTATTACATTTTGGTGGGGAGCGCCTGGGTGGCTCAGTCGTTAAGCGTCTGCCTTCGGCTCAGGTCATGATCCCAGGGTCCTGGGATCGAGCCCC